TTAATTCCTCTGACCATTGATTTCTCCTTGTGTCCTTTTGCTTCCCTTATCAATTTTCTGTAATTCCTAGCTTCTGATTTGTATTCATTATTGTCAACTTTCCCTTTCTTAGTAATTTGATTTACACTGAAGTCAAAGGGAGCCAAAGAAAGACTTCCTTTGATTTCAGTAGGCTTTGGATTAGGCCCTAAAAGAGGATGTCAAAAATTAAGAGATACTTTTACGGTGTCCTTTAGGTCTTTTAAAAAAATGATGTCCCATTTAAATAATTACTTTCTTTCCCTAAGTATGTGTCTGTTTGGCTAAAATAAAAATACTATTGTAATTTATTACTGTATTAAAAATGGCATATTGTGCTTAAGTCTTGAAAAATAGCAGCTTACATGTGAAAATAATTGTGCAAAATGAGTAGAATAATAGTGAATTTTAAGACACAAGGATAAAAACAAGGAGAGTTCTTTACTTCTGAAAATGTCATTGGAAAATTAAAATGCTTTCAAATTATCTAAAAGCGTCAGTGCTACCCCACCCTCTCAAGTAAGAAGATGAAAAGCAAATTTTTAATATTAAATATCATGCAACAACCAAAAAGATCATTAGCAGCTACAGTACCATATATCACTGAAGGGTTAAAAATAAAAGCATATCTGTGCCTTGACTTGAGTCTTATTTACCCTCAAGCAATTTAAGTCTGCAAAGTATTTGTAGTGCAGTATCTTAGAAACACAATGACAAGGAAATCCAGAACGTTTAGTCTTGTAATGTCAACAGAATAGGGTGTGAGCAATTTCCGCTTCAAACATACAAACAGAAATTGTCTTTCCTACTTTTGTTAGTGAAAGATAAGTAGCGTATTATAGCAATATTTTAAAATGTTCTATCTAAACCCTTCCAACTCTAATTTTTCCTGCCCTTCAGCCTCCACTTGCTAAGTGCACAGTGGACAATGACTTTTCTATTTCACACATTCAGTAGTTATATCTTTGCATTCAAATTATTTTTTTTGCCCCTTGGAGAAAATTGGTTTTGCATTTGTGGGATCACTAGCATTTGACATTCTCTGCAGGAAGCAACCCTAGAGGGCTAATTGATAGGATGTCAGAGAGCAGGCACCTTCATGTTAATGCAGTACTCAGCTGAGGGAGATGTAAGTGCTACCCATCTTCACACACTGGACTCTTGCCTGCACTATAGCTGAGAATCACATTCAGGTCTTTGCAACTAGTACTATTATTTCTTCCTCACTCCCAGCACTCTGGTTGTGAATTAATGCTCACCGGTGTTTCTGTTTAATCTTTTATGAACATAATCATTCCTCAAACTGTTATCTGAAAGGTGAAACAAACTTGCCTCCACTTGCACCAAGAATATAAACAGAGCTTTCATTAGCAACAGATAACTAACTGAATTCTCATCTCTATGGCACACCTACCTCCTACTTTGTCATCAGTCTTTCAGAAGTGACAGAGTCAAACCAACCACCAGTTAATCAATGCCTTATCGTCTTTTTACAAGATTTGCTCACTCTGGTCCAAATCTATTACTGAATAACATGAACTGTGACTCTGTGTTTGACATGGGTTATTGTTAAAGTTTGTTCTTAGTATACTTGATACGACATCTTTAGTACAAAACTAAGGCCTTACCTTTGTTCGGATAACACACCAGCCCAAGCACAATAATATAAAACACTGCACATTGGTTTCAGTGGCCTGATTAATGTTTCAAGTTAAGTGTGTGTTTTAATGCTTTGCTGATTTGGGGCCTTATATGTTATATTAAACTCCTAAAAATAAACTATGTAAAGTGTCTGTGTGTAGTCTAGGAACACTTTTCAATATCCAATATCTCAGAACATTACATGCTACTTTCTAGTTAAATTCTAAGTGCACCGATCAAAGTTAGCTGAATTGCAGATTTTGGGGGCTGAAAGAGAAGACTGGTATGAAAGAACATTTTTTCTTTTTTGCTCTAGTGGAAACTCCAATTCAAAGGTTGGAGGACATGAAAATTAAACTGCTAAATCCAACCATGTTAGTTGAACAGGTCTGACAACTGCAAGAAGAATATAATCTGCACAATCTACCCCTTTCATCTGCTCCACTCTTCCACAATCTGAGATGAGTTAAGCAAAGAGAGATTGGAGAGAATGAGCCAGTGTTACTGCTTTAGTTTTACCCTTTGGTACAATAACATTTTTACCTGCTATTCAAACACACATCTTTGCCAGGAGTCCAATTAAAACTATGCTAATGAAGACTCTTAGGTGCTGAGCAGCCTCAGCTCTGACTGAAGTCAATGGGAGATGAGGGCAGTCAGCATCTCACACAAGGGGCTTACAATCAGTGCCGGTGCTAGTCCATTGGGGGCCTTCTGCAGGAATATTTTGCTCCCCCAACACATTAATTATGAATAGTGCTTGAACTGCTCAGGGCCCTAAGCAATTGCTTAGTCTGCTTATGCCTAGCACCAGCTCTGCTTACAATAGTATCTATAAACAGATTGATTCATGTATAATGGCAGAAAGATTTCTCAGCTCTTGTCACTAATGCCCACACAGACAAAGCATAGTGTAAAGCAGTGGTGGGCGGCCTGTCAGGGTAATCTGCTGGCGGGCCGCAAGACAGTTTGTTTACATTGACCATCTGCAGGCACGGCTGCCCGCAGCTCCCAGAGTGACCGCGGTTCGCTGTTCCCGGCCAATGGGAGCTGCGAGAAGCAGCGTCCAGCACATCCCTGAGGCCCGCACCACTTCTCGCGGCTCCCATTGGCCGAGAACAGCGAACTGCGGCCACTCGGAGCTGCGGGTGACCGTGCCTGCAGACAGTCAATATAAACAAACTGTCTTGCGTCCCGCCAGCAGATTACCCTGATGGGCCGCGTGCAGCCCGCGGGCCACAGGTTGCCCACCACTGGTGTAAGGAGTACTGCATGTAACAATATTACTACATTTATGCAAACTGTAGTGCATTCATTCAACTCATTTTCCACATCTCTCAAGTCCAACAATACTCATGTTTGCACACAGTCTTTGGTGATGACGGGGAATAGAATCTGTCCCACAGGAGAAACTCTTGTATATTTAAATTTATTCTGAATAAATGTTCAACAAAAAAATTAAAGCATTTACTTTTCTTAAAAAATGGTTTCCATGAAAGGATTTTTATATAGTCATCTAAGTAGTAATACAGTATTTATATACAAAATCTCATTTCAAACAAACAATTTACTGTACAAAAGAAAGTATAACCATCAGTTACTCTTATGACTTCAGCAAATAATAAAATTTATGACAAATATGTACTTGGGTATAGTTTACTATTTACAGGAATGTCAGTATTAAGCCAAGAATATTAGATAAATTATTTACAGTTGAAATTCCTTCAGAGTAAGTTCCCTAACATTTATCTTCATAAAAGGTGTCTGTTTCTTTCTTGACTTTTTAGGTTATTAATGAATGAAATAAAGATTATATTTTCTATAAGGAGTATGGACAAAACTCTGCTTGTCTTACTCATGCTAGTGACTCTGCTGCAGTCAGTGAGCCTGATTTTGCATACAGGTACTACCAGGCATAGTGCTTACTCTGTGTGAGAATAAATCAGACAGGATTTGGCCCTATTTTATTAAACATCTCAAATTATAATTAAAAAAAATAGTGACATTCCTGCAAGTCAAAATATTAGAAACAAGCATTAACAAAATATAAGCCCTTTATTAATACAAATCTTTGGTTGGATCAATATTTTAAATTAGTTTTAACAATATTTGGTTATTATAATTCACTTCTTTCCACATAATTTCTCTTCTGGTATCTTTTTGAACAGACTACAGAAAAAACATCTGAAGGTAATCACATACTTTATAGTAAAACCAATAAATATTACAAAACAAAGTGTGGTATTTTTAAAGTTCTATTTTAAATCTTTAAATTACGTTGGCAAACAAAAATAAGAGACACCCTGCCCCCCACTTATTTTCATGAAGTATAAGTCTTTTGACATTTGGTTTTGGAACAAACCATACAGTAGATAGACTGAAACTTTTGTTTTTATTTTAGTTATTTGGTTTAGTTTATTGTTTAGCTTGCTGTTTTCAGTATAAGTGCCATGGACAAGAGAAGGTGTTAATATTGGTGCAATTAACCTCATTCCCTTTATTAGGAAGTATAGTTTATCACTAAACAAACCTTAAACTAAAAGTGTACTATACATGAAAAGAGTTGCACTGATGGGGTCTGGATATTCATTCCAGATAAGGATTTTAGATTTATTTTAAGGAAATGTCATTATATATATATATATAAGATAACATATTTTAAGACAAAATTAAAGTCCTGTAATTGAAGTTCTGATCCTGTAGTTCCAGAGTAGGCAAAACTTCCATTAAAGACAATAAGATCATATTCACACAGAATCTACCCTTACTCTTCCTGGCATAGTCTGTGGTAGATGTTATTAGTATCAGAAAGTCTGCCATGCTGGGGAGACTGTAGCCAAGCAAAGTGGCTGTGACAGTGTGACCTCCTCTTCATTGCAAAGGAGAGTGAGCTATAGAGAAGGAGCTGGTGAGGAAAGGTGGATTCAGTGTATCCTTTCAGCAACGATGGTGCCTGGATATTAGGCAGGGCAGTGTAAATTACTGTAGCTATACATGTGCTCATTAATTCAGGACACTTAAAAATGCTCCACAGTGCTCTGGCTTCTGGGAAATCCTATGAAATTATGCTGCTGCTGTGCTGCTACTGCTTCAGAACCCTTAGTAGACTATAACAAGGCCACAATACTGTCTAGGGCACTGGAGCACCTGCATCAACATGAATCGTTCACCTGATCAGCTTTTTGGGGCAGTGAAGAGCTGTCAGTGGTGCACAGAGTTGGGGTTAAGGTTAACGTGTTCTGCGCTGACTTCATCTTCGCATTTTTCTGAGTGGGGAAGTGCCCAAATGGAAGACTCTAGTGCACAGCAGACTGCTAGCAGGGTCCCTATGGAGTCCCAGCTTTAAAAAAAAAAAAAAAAGGCTATTCTCTCTCCCCTCCTCCCCCCATCCCTGTCGATGGGGTGAATCTCCCAATGGGTAATTTACCCTGCACCAGCTTCAGTGTATATAGCCTAGTGACTGCAATGGGAGTTTTGTTTGCCTAGGATCTGCAGGTTCAAATCCAGATTATGTCTGCCAGGGGAGCTGACCTGCATCTTTTGAAACTGAAGATGCCTTATAAGGTTTATATTGTTTCCTTTCTCCTGTTATATGAAATGCTAGAGCACATTGTAAAATTGACTTTGCATATATTTTGTAGATCTGCCCGAAGCTTTTCAGGAATGGACTGCTAAAAAGATTTCAAATTATTATTTGAAATTTACTTTGGTTATTTCTTAATAAGCTAAAGTCAGATTCTCAGAGAACATTTCTAAGTACCAGCATTTTGTTAACACACACTAACATCCATAGTGTTATCTAACTATGAAATATAAAAATTCCCTGCATTACTTAAAAAAAAATTCCTATCCGCAATAGAATGTGGCCTTCCCTATTTGTAAGAAGTGCACTTCTCACAAAGATGGGAGCAAAATGGTTGCACATACTTAAACATTCACCTGGTTGTCCATAAATCAAGTCTTGCCCTTTAAGTGATGGCTTGTTTATCAATGGAATGCCTCAACAAAACAAAAATACCCTCCTCTTCTATACATCAATGTGATATGAATGGCAGGAGGACATGCTCCCGCTTTGGCTCCTTGAGAGCTTGGGGCTGTGGTTGTTACAGTTTTCACCTTTTTTCATGTCCTTGTCTTTCCAGGTTTCTAGCATTTGCAGCTTTCCCTGTTCTTCTTTCATGAACACCTCCACCATGAGAACTTTCTCTTTATGAATCTGCTGACTAATGTCCTTGGGAATGTCTGGGATAATCCAGTCCACAAAGTCACTCATAAACATGACCAAGTTCTGAAAAATAGATTTTAAGAAAATGTTAGCAGGGTCAAATGAAATGAGAATATATATAGATATTTAGATTTTTGTTGTAGTTCAGAAGGGACAATATTCTAGGCTGGGCCTTTCTCTTCATCACAAGTATGTTGAAAGTTCCATGTGTCAGCTATTTAGCTTTACCATCACTTTCCCATAGGGGAAAATGGCAGGGATAGGTCTCTCTGACTGATGCAGAAAATATACAGTAATGAGAAGACAGAGGGAAATACTGTAGTTGGTATATGGCTGTTTATGCTTGACATTAACAGTGCATGAAAAATGACTAAGTAGGCTGAGATTTTCTGACGGAACAGTTCACTGTTACAAAATGCTGATTTGACAAAACAGAACATTTCATGGGAACATAACCATTTTGTCAAAAATGTTGATGGAATAGTATCAAAACATTTCAATAAGGTCAAAATGTTTAGTTTTGATTTCAATTCTGATGTTTATGTAATCCATTATGTGAAATATTTTTATTTAGCAAAAAATGCAGGGATTTTGGCTTTTTCCTCCCAATTTCAGAGGAAATCAAATTTTGAAATCTTGGCGTTTCCCATGGCTAGAAATTCATTTTTTGGCCTGCTCCAGAAATGACTCTAGATGAAATCCACTCAGGACTAGCATAGCAGCCTATGTACCACTTAAGCAGGCTTGGTTTAAATAATTTTGAGGCCCTGTGTTCTATGGAAATTGGGGACTGTGATGGGGCAGAGCGGCACCGCACTGGTACCACAGGGGTTAACCCTTCCTGTCTAGCAGAGGAAGCCATGCCCCTGAGGCTCTGCTGGGCATGCTCCAACTGGAGAACAAGTATAAAAACCTGCAGAGCTGCTCAGTCTGGGCTGACCGCCGGAGGGGAAGGAGACACGCCGCCAGCTCCCAAGGAAGGACAGCCTGCGCTCCAGGATCCGGAAGTCAGCCAAGCTGGGATGCACCCTGATGCCCAGACGGAGTATGTCACAGCAGGGGAACAGAACGGAGGATCACCCGAAGCAGAGAACCCAGAGTTTATGGTAGGAAATGACCCAGGGGAACTTTAGAGGAAAACGGCATTAGAGCCTCACAGACGCTCGGCGTGTTTTGGGCGGATCCCTGCCGAGCTGGTGGCAAGGGGAACTTGCCACTACCAGGGCCCTAGGTCGGGACCTGGTGGAGAGCGCGAGCCCGGGTCCCCCCACCAGCCCCCCACACCACGGAAATCATATGGACTCTGGCCACGAGGCCACGCTACCCTGTCTGAGAGGAGTGATTATATGGGCTCTGGCCCTTGGGCCACACTACCCTGCCACTTGGGCAAGTTACCCAGAATCTGGCTGTTAGGCCACACTACCCCGCCTGCAAGGGGGGAAATTATATGGACTCTGGCCATTGGGCCGCACTGCTCCAATGCTAGGAGTAATTTATATGGACTCTGGCCATTAGGACACACTACCCTTCCCAAGGGGTGACTGTGTGGAGGGAGGCCATTAGGCCGCATCGGGCCGCCCACAGAGAGGTGAGCACATGAACTTGGGAGTGGTGAGGTTCCGACACCCCATCCCACCCCTGCCACAAAGGGGTGTTGTGGTGCCAGGCCTGCCACAGGGACCTACATTCAAATTAGGTCCAGTGACTGCCACTCCTCATCTGCTGTCATGACAGAGGGGTGGCTGGGCCAAACCTGAGGGATGCTGTGACTGCTCGAGCTTTGCTCCAGCTGCTGCCAGATTTGCACAACATGAATAGAGGGCCGTTCAGCAAGCACACCCAACCCATACATACTTACCACACCGAGCCCCAAATGCACCTGCCGACCAATATATATCCCAACAATCCTTCCCCGGTCCCCACTTATCCTGACAGCCCCCCCATGTATCCCATCAGCCCTGACATACATCCCCCCCACTGAAGCCCCCAGAACCACAGCCCCAGTTGCCATAGCCCCCACATCCTGGCCCCCCAACATGCCCCACTGTCCCCCAACAGCCCTCATAATTCACCCCACTGCTTCTTAACATTCCCCACTTGCCTTCATCTCTCACCCACAGCCCTAAATCCCATTCCACTTGCCCAATAGCCCACCAACAACTTACCCCCAGTCCCTCACCCTCTGCCTTGGGATCTTCCTGGGGGCTCACCAGTGGGACCCCCATTCCTCCCCGTCCCAGCCCAGCACTCTGCTGCTGTCCTGGGCTAGGGAGGCTCCTCCTAATCCTGGCCACCCAGTGACTCTCTTCACTCCCACTGCCTGCCCCCCGCTCACAGGACAAGACGGGCAGGCGGCCAGGCCAAATTTGAATGAGTGTCATTTCTACATGACACATGGGGTCACAGCGCCACTCAAGTTTGGCCCATCGCAATGCCACCCATCAAATCCGGTGAGCAGAGCACCCCCTATGTTGGGAGCCCTGTGCAAGTATACTGAGTGCACATTGGTTACTCCAAGTCTGCTCTTAAATCCTTTCTTAACCCCTGCTTGTAGGATTTAAATGGGACCTGAGTGATGCCTCACCTCCCATTAAAGTTACTGGTCTATATACACTGCATGTTGTGCAGGGAGCAGTGTATCCCTGTGGAGGATACATCCTGTGGCTGTTCTGTGGCTTTGCATCATGCTTGAGAAGGTTGTGAAAATCAGTGCCCTCAGGAAGGACCTCTGACTGGTAAATGATATTCAGTGGACTCTCATCTCATTTAGTTAAGGAATAGTTTTATGTATGTATATGTGATGTCTCTTTCCTAGTTAGGAGTCTGAAAAGATTTAAGTCTGAAAAGATTTACATCAAACAGTACCTGAAAAACTATCACAAATGCTAATCTTGCTGCTAGGACAGCCCAGAAGTCCTTTGAAATTTCATATTTGTTTTCAGACCATGGGGGTTCTCGGTAATCTTTGTATCTGTAAAACAAGACATAATAAATCAAGGATGTTGTTTTAAAATGTTCGCACAATTAGGATTTAGTACGGAATATGCATTAAACACTAATTCAGACCTTCTTGATACAAATCCCTCTTACAGAAAGGCTGTGTACAAATCCATCCAAACAAGACAAAACTAACACAGCCTTGAAATTTTATGTGGATTAGAAGATGACGACTCTTAAATGTTTATGCTTTCTGATCAGTATGAACAATATAAACTCAGAGTAAAGAGGGGCTGAGCTGCAAAATTCAGATCACAATCTCAACTTCTTCCAAGTTTGGGAGATATTTTATGTTTCAGGTGCAGCTATAAGAGCAAAATACTGATCTCAGATTGATATGGTGGATCAGAACTCCAATATTTAGATTTCCACACATAGGAAGAACAGAAGATTGGAGTCAAGCTCTTTCTGAGTGGATATGAAAGAAGAATTTCACCATAGCACTGGCTTATATATTCTATGAATCTGATGTATCAACAGCAATTTTATTTTGTTTTTAAAAAGTATCCTGACCAAAAAATGGAAGAATTTAAATTAGCACCATTCTATTACATATGTATCCAGGAATTATAGCTCCATATTCTGAAATGTGATTTTACAAGAAGAAAGGGAGTGTGAGAGAAGATGGAATGGGAATTAAAAAGGGGCTTGTGGGGAAAGGAGAGAAGAAAATACAATGCTGTGGATTGGGTCATGAAGCCAACTCTTCCCTTCTAGTCATAATTCTACACTGAAAACATTTCAATCAAACTGGTATTTCCTCCATCAAGAGAGATCACCTCAGGGATACAGAGGAAAGGAAAGGTAGGCAAGAGTAGATAACTTTGCTGATTCTAGTTGGTTTTCACTTTCATGTCACAGTAAAAGTGATTTTTAATTTTAATAGGCATCTTAACAGTAACTTTTGATTTCTTCGATAGTTGTAAATAGTATAAATTAAGAAACTCTGAATGATCTGCCTTTCCCCCCCCCTTGTCAATTTCTGTCATTTTCCAATAGAAACAGACCAAAATCCTGTATTTTTTTTCCCTGTAATGTCTCCAATCTTTGTCCTTATCTTTGCTGTTTGAATTGCCCTCATTGCTGCTCTTGGCTTTGATCCCCAATTGCAGGCTTTGAGAACATTTTGAAGCTGATGTATATCTAAGTTAGCCTAGGCAAAGAATGCATTTCAATGCTGACCCAGATTTCTTGACCAGCTGAAATATTCAGCAAGAATTTTCCTTCAAAAACATGAATAATATGTAACATTTGTTTTGATCACACTAGTTACATGTATATTAGACTTTTAGATAGGCCTAAGACCAAGGATTTAATTCTGTCAGTGCTGAAGTCAATGGGAATTCCACACCAGGAGGGATGGCAGGATTGGGCCCATAGTGTAGACAAAGTTGCCATTATTGTCAGCTTGAACTACTGGATCAACTGGACAGTATGATGGGTAGATCTTTAATCATGATGTACTAATGCAATGACACTGCTTCGAGTTGGCAGACTTCAATTTTAATTTTTTTGCATTTTTGATTAAGATGGATTATTATTATTTTAAACAATTTAAAGTTGTCGGAAGCTAAGGGAGATAAGGTTGTGGTTGGAGTTAGGGAAAGTGCTGACAACGACGTTGCAGGGAATTCCAAGCACTGACCGCTGGGCTGCAAGGACCCAAGGGCTGAAGGGCCCAAGACATTAGGGAACAAGGTACAGGGGAGGCTTCAGTGCTGGCCCAGCAAAGCAGAGACCCCTCCCAGCCAGGACTGCAATGAGGAGGATGAAGACGAGCATTCGGCCGCAGAGGAGGCCACCTTGCTGCTGAATGGCTCCATCCCCAAGCAGGAGGCATTCAACAGCAGGGTGGCCTCCTGGTGGCCAGAGGCTTGTCCTCCTCCTTGCGGCCTTGACCGAGGTGGGATCTCTGCTCTGCCCCGCCCCACCAGGACCATAGCCTTCCTTGCACTTTGTGCTGAAGGGATCCAGCATCACTGGCCCCATAGCCACATAGACTCTCTGCAGCTTCTCTGCCATGGCCCCATTCCCTCACTTCTGTGACAGCAAGGCTGCAGATGGCTCTCTGCACTGTTGCAGAGCCAGAGACATCCAATCTTTGCAGACAGAAGGTGCACGGGGAAGGCTGCACTTGCACCATTTGTTACCAATGGATATTTTCCCCCCCCCGTCTATTTCGATGCTGCAGTTGAAATCGATGTTTACCGATATCTATCTATTTAAATCGATTCCTGCCAAGCTGAATCATGATGCAATATTGTGACATCTTGGCAAAATGTCATCTTGTTGCCCCAAAGCATCAGTATGCTGTGAAGTGACGGCATCAAAACATCATGTCACAGCACAACATTATGATGTGATGATATTTTACAAGCCTCAAAAATATAATCATGGAAACATAAGATTATCTCAGTAAACTGGCACTATCCTGGAACTAGCATGTTCCAGAAGACCCTCATATGATTACCAGTATCTCCCTCTAGTTCTGTAGTGACTGAAAATGATGCAGAGGCTTTTTGGTCAAGCAAAGGAGAAAAGTGCTTTGCACTGATTCACCAGCAGCTTTGGATGATTAAGAAGTGTTGTTGCCCTATCCTGAGCTTGAAGGATGGTGGTTATTACTTTGTAAACATGGAGGAGATAAACTCCTAAATTCACCAATCATGCTAGATCCTGAAGTTGGATAGAGGAGTTACATACAATGTTGGAGGCTTGGGGTTTTTTTTTCTCCCTCCTCTAACACAAATAGTTGATAAATACTTAGTCAGCAATAAACACTTTGCAAATGCCCTGGCATGTATTTAACATTTACATGGTAAACTCATTTTTTCAAACTAAGCAATGCATATGCTGCAAGTGCTGTGGTAACTTTACCTATATGCAAAGATTTCAATGGTAACTGCTCTCTATATAGGATAAAGAAGACTGAGCTGCTAATAGACTACAACAGGACCTAAATCAGGTGGTATGTGACTGTGTAACTATGAGTCCCACCAGACACATGAAGAAGCTAGTACCTCCATTCAACAGGGAAAATAATTTAAAATGGCTATCATTCAAGAGAGTACCTGCATATCTGAACCACGTAGCCAAGTTCCATTGGGTCATTTGGAGCTGTTCCTCCTTGAAAATCGCTGACATTAAAAGAGGATAGCGTATGGTTCACGAAGCCATGCATGGTGCCATTCTCACTGTACATATACAGGTACACGAGGCGTGGAATGAAGTCAGATGTGAATGAGATCACAAATGCCTAAGCCATAAGAGTAAAGAATGAATGCAATATTCAGATAATGCTTAGCGGATAATATACTCAAGTGTATCTTCCCCACATAATGCTTATGAGTCGAAGAAATGTTATGCAGTGGGCTGATTCAGACAATAAGTCTAAGTCTGCAGCCCAAAGGATGCTAAGGATATGGAAACCCCATCAATGTGATGTTTGCTACTCAAGTTCCAGAGCTGCGTGGTGTCAACTCTAAGTAGCTTCATGTTGGCTGAGATCTCTATGTAAGTAACTTGAGCTCCCTGGGGAATCCAGACATTGTCCCCTTTTTCATTACTCAGTCCCCATCACCCTTATGTAGCACAAAACCTCTATCCACTATTCCTCGAATTCCACAAACACATGTACTGGTCCTGGACACACTACTTTTTCTGTTCCCACTTCAGCTCCCTCCCAACCCCTATCGCAAGCCCTCACATTCTGTGTTTAGGGTAGACAGAGAAGATTGCAGACTGAGCTTTGGGCCTTGAAGATGGGGGCTCCAAATAAATGACCTTGTGGAGACCCCAGATTTGTTTCAGCTGGCCCTGCATATCAGATAATAGTTGATCACAATAAAAAGGGAACAAGATCTCCTTGTAGCAAAAGCTGCTAAAGATCACTTCAACTTGATCAATGATGATCAGACCCAGACTTTAGAGTTTCTTAGATTTTGCAGGGGTTTTTTTTGTTTGTTTTTTGTTTTGGTCTTTTGCTATTCTTAGATAAATGACTAGAATAAATAAATAGCAGATATTTTTCTTATTAAATACCAGTAATGTTTCCAACCTTAAAGGTGTCTTATATTTTACTGTGCTTTTCTGTTGTGTATTAATTATATTACATCTATGACTGTACAAAATAACTTGTGCAACATTGCTAAAAAGCAAAACACCATGCTGTTTCCCTCTGCTCCAATTACAGCTGGTCCCAGATGGATTGTATAAGCTCTGATTGATTGCTCTGGATGTACTTTTATGTGCTGCAAATAACTTATGGTGAATCAACTCTTTAAATGCCCTCTGCTTTGCAAAAATCTGTTAATTTTAATGGAGGTTTTTAACTAGATCAAGATAAAACAGCAAGCATGTTGGGCCAGATGGCTTTTTTACAGTCACTAAAATTTCTTATTCTCCTCAGGTTTTATAAATAAGCGTGATACACAGAATACAAGGGCAGCCAATTTAGTTGTGTTCTCAATACCTTTGGCTTTTCTCATTTATCGCTATCATGAAAGAGATTGTAATTTGCATGCAGCTCATGTATGTGCAGTACAAAAAGTTTTACTTATGCTATGATAGATTAAAGTAAGGAGAACAGCAGTGGGTAATGCCTGAAGAGAGATTGCAGGGAGGAATGTGGGAGAATAGGAAGAATTTTCTAAGGAAAAAGAGGAGAAGCAGGAAAGATGAGAAAGGGGAAATTAAAGGCAGCACACCAAAATAGAAGACTGATTGGGAACTAGCTCTGCCAGCAATTCTGGGTGCTGCCTCTGTGAGACTTCCCTGCTTGGAAATAAGGGCTTGATCCAAAGTTCTCTGAAGTCAGTGGAAGTCTTTCTATTGATTTCAATGGGTTTTGGATCAGTCTTCAGTGGAGAAATCACTTCCCAAGTTACTGAGGTGCATGGTGGAGCTAACCTGCTTGGAGGGATGGTGATGGGCTATATGCTCTTTGCTATCCTGAAGACCACTTCAAGAGTGGCACAGGCCTCTGAGTGGCCTCTCATCTTCTCCTTCCAGTTAGAAGAAGACTCCACAGTGACAACTGTCTAGTAGCTAGAGAGGGAGCTTAAAAGTAGAGCTGTGCAAATAATAGATTTGTTTAGTTCTGTCAAGTCTAAAAATGCAAGAAAACAATAATTTTGGGTTGAGCTGAAAATGGAAATTTTCAAAACTTTTAGAGAATAGAAAAGTTTAAAAAAAAAATTTTGTGTCACACAAAATGTTTTGTTCTACTCAAAACAAAAGGCTTCATTTTGGGCCTTTCTTTTTTAATTTGTACAAAATAAAATTCAAGGTAATTTCAAAATAAAAAAGTCATTTTGAATCAAAATGTTTCATTTGAAATGTTGAAATGAAACATTTTTACTTTTTCAGAATTTTTTGTAGGTTATTATTTATTTTTTTTTGGACCAAAGCAATTCAACAAAATCTATACAAATTTGCACAATGTTTCAGTTGACCCAAATCTGCATTTTTTCCTGAAAAAAGTTTTGGTTGAAAGATTTCATCCAGATCTATTTATAAGATAATGTAAGGGGAAATCACATCCTTAGAACTTAAGGCTGGGAGAAAACCAGAGACTCCACAGATGCACATGTCCAGCATTGTCTCCTCTCTTGTTGTTTCTAGACCCTCTTTTCACCTTGTTTGTAACTTTGACACAGATCTAACTTTTGTTGGGTGTGAAGGGACTGTGAGATGAAATAGTGTTTGTTTGTGTAACACGTGTAATATATATACACACACAAACACAGAAAAATGTGTAAATGTAAATGAAAGTTAGAGCTATTCTACTGTTTTAACCCCAGTCTAAAAGTTTTCTGAAGACTCAAATGATCCAAAGCAGTCTTATTGTATGACACATCGAAGTAGTCTTGCATGTTTTCCTAAGGGCCTAGTCGGCATTCATTGAAGTGAATGAAAACATTCTTATTAATTTCTGTAGCTACACAGAGTCCTAAAGACAGGGATCATATCACATCTTCCTAATAGGAACACATCATTAAGAGCCAGATCCCCAGGTGGTGTAAACTGAATGCAGTCAAGCTAAACTGACATACATCAGCTGAAGATCTGGCCCAATAAGTGTAGAGGGGTGACAGGTTTTTTTAATTAGCGTTTGTTTAAAAATGTGGTCAAGGAAAGATACTTGCAAAATATCTAGACTACTAGGAAGCAAGGCTAGTTTAAGGTCAGCAGATGCAGTAAAAATAGTCTGGAAAAAAGACGCCAAGGCTACCACTGATTATGTTTACTATGGCTTTTATTGCAAATTAGCGTTTAGTGCTGAACCTTTTAATTTTGCAAGTTTTTATAAGGCATAAATAATATATGATACACTTGACAATGTAAAACTAAACCCTGGACCTGATTCTCTAGTCCATTAGCTTGCTTTAAATCATGTGACTCCACTGATTTCAGTGGAGATTAGTTAGAAGAAAACCAGTGTAATGGAGTGGAGAATCAGGCCCATTGCATTCAAATTTTACTGATAAAGAGTTACTTACATTTATTATTACAGCAAGTTTTCCTACACCTCTGAGGATATTATACCAGATTCCTATGGGAAAGACAAACATGGTAAATGCTTTCAGATTAAGCTTATCATTGTTAACTGAAACTCCGTACATCCATATTTAGACACCTGCCTCATTTTTAAAAGCACCTGAGCCAGCCACTCTTTTGTGGGAGAAGGGAAGGGAAGGCAAGGTTACTGCAAAATGGAAGAGAGTAGCAGATACATAAGGAAAAAAATCATGAAGTTTGATCAAATGGGCCCAAATAATTTTCAGTAGGAAGGAGGGAAAAATGACACATGGGGAACTAGAATCTCCACAGAAGATCCCTTTGCAGAATATATTGCTCTGTTGAGAGTACCAATCTTAAGGGATCTGTCACAAACCAGGGCTTTCCACATGGATGCCTTATTTCTTTGCATTGCCTCTGCCCTCCTCACCAGCAGCATGGTTCCAATGGAGCCACTCTGGTAAGGTTTCTCCTTGCTGCCCACTTCACTGTATCTGGGAACCTCTGAGCATGGTTTCTGCAGTATGGAGGCTGTGCATTCAAAAGATATACTGACAGCATATTAACTTATTATCAACCTTGGGGGTGTGGTGGAAGGACGATGCACAAAGATCACCCAGTCCCACTGCCCAGCCTCTCCTTACATTCTGTGGTGTCTTGGTATAACACACTGACTTTGTGTATGTGATAACGCACCCTACCAGCGACTGTCCCCCAGGATTGGAACAACCTTCTGGTTACTAATCACAGCTAAAAGAGTTCTCCTTTAGCTCAAGTACTAGGGGCCTGTGCTTTTGGTGCTGAATGTCCCAGGTTTGATCTGTGCCAATGACTCTGGTATCTGGATGTATAAGGCCACAGTTCATGACAAAACTGCACCCCAGCTGGGACTTGAGCTTCTGTAGCCCTTAGACACTCAAGATGATGTTTACTATACATAAAGTTTCCAGGGACTAGCACCTTGTAACCTAGAAAATCCTATGCAATTAAGATAAACCCTGAGCAACTAATAAGTACAGGGGCGCTGGAACAAATTGTATAGTGGGGGTGCTGAGAGGTATTGAATCAAACTGTGAATCATGTATATGATGGAAACCACTTCAAATCAAATGGTGCAGCAGCACCCCCAGCACTCCTAGTTCTAGCACCTATGAATAAGCATACGGTCAACTCCACCTTTCTCATCATTTATTCTGAATCTGGTCATTGTTAGTATATCTCTATTTAGCAAGAGTGACTTAATTCATGTTTCAGAAAAACTAGGGTAGTAGACAAATGCATCTGTTTTTCCAACAGAGTTGTAACAGAATCATATATAGGGCCTTCTCCTGCTCCTGTTTAAAGGCCAATCTTGGGCTGTGTACAAGTTGTGCTTGGTGAAGAGCTCATTGTGGGGAGCAGGAGCAGGCCCCGGTCACTGCCAATGATTGCAAAGGATTTCTATTGGCTAGAACATCCCCTCTCATTATGCATGCTCCTCCTTTCTTTCGGTTGATTTCTGTCTCAAGCCTTGTGTGGTTTTCTTCATGACAAGGTGATATTTTGGCCCTGTGGAACCTTGGCAGAAACTCAATTCATCTGAAATTCTCCTAAAAGATCTCAATAGCATTTCAAAAACACAGCAGTTGCTGAAGAAGCCAGGGAACTACAGAAAAAAGGATGTGCTGGTGATGGCAAAACTTGACAAAAAGAAGGGAAAAGACCACAGAGACAATCCCTCACGTATCCTTCAATACCTAGGCACAATGGAGAGCATTTAGAAATGCCCCAGAACTGGGGAACACACATTGTATGGTAATTAACAGTAGATTTTCTTTGCTCACATTGACTTACACTATAACTTGAATAATTCTTTTCATTGAGTTTTCTATTTGTGAATTTCCAGTATCCAATTAACTGGTAATGAGGGAAAACAGCTTGCAGGGGCAAATCCATCTCTCATCTTCTCTGTCATCAAGAGATCCTTCAGGTAGCAGATCTGGTATGATGCTTCTATGCAACTGTAGGACCTGGTTTCAGCCAGGTCCACTACTGTGTCTAGCCTCCAATGTCCCAGAATTCATACTGGCCAGGAAGCAAGCAGCTGAAATAACTCCCCCATGTTTCAGCAGTCACTCAGTCTCCCCTTTGCCCCTATGCATCTCCCCTGCCCAGCTGAGGAACTGGAGTTTTTAAATGCAGAAGCTTTTGTTTCCGCAATAAAACTTGCATGGCCAGGAAGAACTATTGATGGGGAAAACCATGCACTGTATCTCACTGTTTTATTGATCATTCCTGATCCTCAGATGTTTTATGCTTACTTAATAAAATATTAATCTGAATTTAAAACACTGCTCTTAATATTTTAAAAGTAAAGCTTTGATAAGTTATGACAATTCACAGCTAAGTTACACTCTAATGTTTTCAATTGTACTATAAAGATCTTCCTGTTAATTAAGCCAACTCAGCATAAAAAAATTCCTGCCATCAATCAATCAATAAAAAAAGGAGTAACATTACCAAATAGCCTAGTCATGAGATATTTTACTTACCTATATCTTTTGCTCTGACTGCAACTGGTCTTCTAAGCTCAGTGACAAATTTCTTTGCATCTAGACGTATTTCAATGATGTTGTTCAACAATGCAAACAAAGGAGCCAGCGGGAAGGATGCAACAAACAAGGTTACAAATCCAAACTGGATAACTGAAAAGAGAAACTGTGTCACAGAGTGCTCTGTATTTATGAACTGTGCTTTGGTGTGTTACAACAAATTAATGCTTTCCCCCTAAATGTTTCTACAAACCCTAACCACGGAGAGTCACTTGCGAGTTATACCTCACACAAATTTCAATATGTAGTTGATTAATTGGTGCTTCGTCCAAGCATAAAGAGCCATAAGTCCCTGTTCTGATACTTTGTGCTGGTCAGGCAGCACAAACCAACCACGAAGAAGCCCTAAAGGGGCAGTTGAGAATTCTTTTGACATAATTAAATCCCCTGAGTGGTGCAAAGATGGTTTAGCCAGCTTTAGCCCACCTGCTCCCCATCTGAATAGGAAGCATGTCAGAGGCAGGGAGGAGTCATGCTGGGAGCGGGGCTGGAATGCACCACACTTCAATCAATCCTGGAATGGTCCTTATGAGACTGCAGCAACCAGCATAACACAGAGCAGTCCTTAGCATCCTCCAGGATGAGGGGAATGGGAAGGTGGATTACAGTCACCTTTCCCCTGCTTCGTCAACAGCAATAAGCTGACACTCTATGCTTAAATTCAGTACTAATTAATCAATTACTAATAGGGCTGTCAAGCGATTACAAAAATTAATAGTGATTAATCACACTGTTAATAATAGAATGCCATTTTTTAAAATATTTTTGGATGTTTTCTACATTTTCAAATATACTGATTTCAATTACAACACAGAATACAAAGTGTACAGTGCTCACTTAAAATGTATTTTTGATTACAAGTAGTTGTACTGTAAAAAAAACAAAAGAAATAGTATTTTTCAATTCACCTAATACAAGTACTGTAGTACAATCACTTTATCATGAAAGTTGAACTTACAAATGTAGAATTATGTACAGTAAAACTTGCATTCAAAAATAAAACAATGTAAAATTTTAGAGCCTGCAGGTCCATTCAGTCCTACTTCTTGTTTAGCCAGTCAAATTTGTTTACATTTGCAGGATATAATGCTGCCTGCTTCTTGTTTACAATGTCACCTGAAAGTGAGAACAGGTGTTCTCACGGTACTGTTGCAGCTGGCGTCGCAAGAGATTTACGTGCCAGATGCGCAAAGATTCACATGTCCCTTCATGCTTCAACCACCATTCCAGAAGACATGCGTCCATGCTGATGACGGATTCTGCTCGATAACGATCCAAAGCAGTGCAGACCGATGCATGTTCATTTTTATTATCTGAGTCAGATGCCACCAGCAGAAGGTTGATTTTCTTTTTTGTTGGTTTGGGTTCTGTAGTTTCCGCATTGGAGTGTTGCTCTTTTAAGACTTCTGAAAGCAAGCTCCACACCTCGTCCCTCTCAGATTTTGGAAGGCACTTCAGATTCTTAAACATTGGGTCAAGTGCTGTAGCTATCTTTAGAAATCTCACATTGGTACCTTCTTTGCATTTTGTGAAATCTGCAGTGAAAGTGTACTTAAAATGAACAACATGTGCTGGGTCATCATCCGAGACTCCTATAAACATGAAATATATGCCAGCATGTGGGTAAAACAGAGCATGGGACATACAATTCTCCCCCAAGGCACTCAGTGAGAAATTTAATTAACGCTTATTTTTTTAATGAGCATCATCAGTATGGAAGTATGTCCTCTGGAATGGTGCCCGAAGCTTGAAGGGGATACGAATGTTTAGCAGATCTGACACAAATACCTTGCAATGCCAACTACAAAAATGCCATGCAAATGCCTGTTCTCACTTTCTGGTGACATTGTAAATAAGAAGAGGACAGCATTATCTCCATGAAATGTAAACAAACTTGTTTGTCTTAGGGATTGGCTGAACAGGAAGTAGGACTGAATGGACTTGTAGGATCTGAAGTTTTACATTGTTTTGTTTTTAAGTGCAGTCATGTAACAAAAAATATCTACATTTGTAAGTTGCACTTTCATGACAAAGAGACTGCACTATCGTATTTGTATGAGGTGAACTGAAAAATACTATTTCTTTTGTTTATCATTTTTACAGTGCAAATATTTGTAAGCAAAAATATACACTTTGATTTCAATTACAACACAGAATACAATATATATGAAAATGTAGAAAAATATCCACAATATTTAATACATTTCAATTGGTATTCTATTATTTAACAGTGCAATTGAGTTAATCGCGTGAGTTAACTGTGATTAATTGACAGCCCTAATTACTAATAACAATTTGTGTGTGATCTGTGTGAGATCACTGGAGTATCTGTGAGGATTCAGCCCAGAATTCAGGTAACAGGGCCAAATTTTGTGCTCTCTTAAACCAGAATTAACTCTACTAACTTCAGTGGAATTATTGCTGGTGTACAGGGGTGCAACTGAGAGCAAAATTTGTCTCTTGGAGCCAAATGTACATGGTGTTATAAATATAGTGTATTTCAAACTGTGTGTTAAACTGTAACAAAGATAAACAGATAACATCTGGTATTTCAGTACTGTATCGAGGTATCCGGAACCATGGCTGTCAGCTATTACCACAAACGTATGGTATGGGAGGTAGAAGCCAGCCCTTTTCCACTTGAGCTGTTGTTATAGGGCTCTTTTATCTTCTCTAGGTTAGCCACTCTAGGACAGTGGTATACATACACACAGGCCATTATGCCATACCACATGAACCAGTTAGTCACCTGTAGCAGCCAGCAAGGTTTCGGTTACTGCCAGGGAGGACACTTTTATAAAGTAGTGTAACATGAATCATATCTGCTAGTTCAAAGAACTCAACTCACCACCTCCACAGTTATAGTCATGACAGTTTAAATTTAATTATTTTCCACTTCACTCACTCATTTCCATGTATTCTGGAGTAAGCCCAGCAAAAGGCTCCAAGTTATAGTCCACTTCATAGCGTTGTTTTTTTTTCATATGCTCCTCATGATCTAAAGAGCGTTGTCGCTTTAATTTGATGTATCTTATTAATTTCTTCATTTTTCTGGAAGAAACAAAAATGATCAGCTTAGCAGGTTTTTCCCCCCATTAAAATGCCCCCCCGCCTCCCCGTTTGGATGCTTCAGGAATGACAGTTAAATTCACGCAATAGACACAAAAAAGCCTTATGTCATCAGTTTTCATAATATGTACAAAAACTGTGTAAAAGCCAAAGGTAAAGACAAGCAATTAGGGATCAGCACTCACTGATATTCAAATCTGGTAACAACTGAACCAAATACTGAACATCAAACGCAGCTGTAAAGAGTATAAAATCAATAGTCTTTAACACTTTTCAAAGAAGTCTGCATGTTACAAAAATACACGAGGAGTTTGAAAATTCGATGGGGTACAAAGGCACAGCTATATTGCAGGTATAGTCTTGCTGTAAAGATTTCTTGCATGAGGACTATAAACCAAAAGAAGCCAGATGTTTGCATCATAGAAGGTTGATATGCAGTGTACTTTACGTATGGTATAAAATGAAGGTAACTATATTACTTACGGGATACCAATCTCAAAGAGATTATTCTGAATCAGCTGTTTGCCCAACATGATAATACTAAGCTGGATACACAATTCCATTAAGCAACCACCAGGGGCACACTAAAGCCAAGAAAAGAGATTAAGTCAGCATTTTTGCCAAATCATTTGATTGTGAATTCACTGTTATTTTCTTGATCAATGATGAATAGCGATTACCTCTTCCATTCGGAAAGAATGAAAAATGTAGACATAGTCTCCTGGACGTCCAACAAATCTAGGATAGTTTGGAAACAATGGTTGGAATTATGTTCTACCTTTTTTATACATCTGATCCTTCAGTCCTTCATGTAAAATAGCTAATGCTTTGAATGAGAGTTACACATGCACAAGGAATTTAGGATCAGTTAATAATTTTTGTCATCACATAGTAAAGTTCAAAAAGGACAATTTTAGGCACTTGTGTTTGGAATATTTTAATTTTTTTTTTAAATTTAATTGGTGAATTAGTTAAATTATAAAGTTTTTACTAAGTTTTCTAGGTATATCCTAAGTATTACAGACACATATCTGCAAACTTATTTTAAAAGTACATCTAAAAAAGAAAAATAAACAACCTTTAGTTAAAATGAGACAACATGGGGAGATGAGAAAGAGAAGTGGGAAGTCAAGCAAGGGGACAACACTAGGAGAGAGAGAGAGAGAGAGAGAGAGAGAGAGAGAGAGAGAGAGAGACAGATAAATTCTATGGATCACACACTATCTTTAGATGTATGTAAGACTCCCAGTACTAGCTGCACACCAAGACTCAACCAGAACATGGTCCTACAAAAATAATCTCAAAGTAACTGCTGAAATTTTAAACTACATGTCTAGGTTACTCACCGGCCTTTGAAGAAAGCAACATAGAAAATGGGAGTGTAGGCATTGACAAATTTCAGAAGGAAGGCCTTGAAGATCAGCCGCTCTTCAAAACTCTTGTCTGTTTTTGGGACCTCTGAAGTAAACAAGACACACATAAAGGAAACTTCTGGACTGGAAAGTGTTAAGGGTCTACGAAGTTGGGACTTTGGAAAACTCCCTAATGTAATCGAAACAACTATCCCCTTAAGGAAATATGAACTGAAGGCAATGACCAATGGGAAAAGAAACAAGCCACATAGATAACTTATTCTGATCTAATTAATATATGTGAGGTTTTTAAAAAACAACAACAAAAGAGCATAACAAAATAGGAGGGCTGTCCTCAAGTGAAGTCCATGGGAGCTGCTTGCATGTATTGATGGCAGAACTGCATATTTAAACAAACAGCTATGGCAGGGGAAGATAAGAAAATTGGTTAGAGAAAAAAGAAAGGTAATTTGGGGACCTACTTTACAGTATTTCTCAAACAACAGGCCCAATTTGATAACAACTCTGTGTCTGGAACTCCCCTGAATCTCACTTGCAATGACAATATCCAAACTACTTGTGTCTGTAAAATTAGTATGGATCTAGCATAAAACATGAGATTGGATAAAATTTCTGGCCCTTCTGCTTCTGGTCCTGTCTGAAAATAGCACAAGAAAATTGGTTCCACAGTGTTTTGGCACTTACTTTTTCTTTTTCACTTCCAATCATTATTTATTTAGCACAGAAAATATAAAGACATGGAAAAAGGATCTGTATGTTACCAAACCTTAGAAAGACCCAAAATAAGTTGCATCCCCAAAATAAGTTATGACTGGGCACAAGAGTTTTAATTTATCCGGAACCACTTTGCCCACTCATAATTGGAGCAATAGCAGCGAAGAGAAAAAGCAGCTAAAAATTAAACCAATTTCATGTGCCCTTTGATGTTTTTTCTTTAAGCTAAGGAGATAGAATTGCAGCCTTATGGTTGAATTTCCTGTTTTTGCTCATCTGTGTGAAGTTAGAAAATGATGCTATGTAAATAAGTAGTTTTTGTACTTTACGAAATAACTAATCTAATAGAATTGACAATGATTTATACCTACCAATCTGAGTTAGCCACCTGGCTATGCAGCCATATACTTCATCCAGAATGATGATCACCACCAGATTAATAATAACTGCAGTTGCAGTGACTGTTACTCTAACACTAGACCGGCCAGAGGGAGTTGAGCTGAGGGCTAAGGCTGCTGCAGTGGAGATTCTGTATATAATGACTCCAAACACGATAGCAAATGTCAGTCCAATCTGGGAATAAAAGATGGCATTATCTGTTATAAAACAATGCACTGTCATTCATCAGCAAGCAGATTTAACTCTGAAATGCCTCCCATGTACTCCCTGGGCCTGATCCCAATCCCACTGATATCACTGAAAGGACTCTTATTGACTTCAATTGGCTCTGGCACAGATCCTCTGTTCCTAGCACTTTGATCATAACAGTAATTTCATATTATGGTGTTAGCACTTAATAAAAAGGAATCTAAATGCAAATGTTAGAGGTATAGTTTATATTAATATTGATGCACTTCACTTTTAATTGATGCTCATAACATTAATGGATATGTGTTAAGTGGCTTATTGTAAAGGAAAATCCAGGAATGAACGTGGCCAGTAGATATGAAGAGGAGAATATTTCTGAGAGTGATATGGCTTAGCTTTTCTTTGTGTCTAAACTTCTGAATGTCCCTCTGAGACCTCCAATTTTGTGAGAGTTCAAAGATTAAACTAAAAGTAATGGTGCTGCAGATCAGCTACATATTATTTCAAGAGTACAATAAAACCCAGAAAAATATAGCTGACTCCTGAAAGATTTGGGAAAAAAGCCCTGCTTAAATTGCTACACTGCTTAAATGGAAGAGTATATTAAGAACATGATCCTGTAAGATACTGAGCCCTTTCCTGAGAAGTGATTAGCTCCCACTAAAATCACAGGAGGCACTCCGAACCTCTCAGGATTGGGCCTTAAGAGGACATATTTCTGTCCTCTGATCCCAAATGGTGCAGGCCCACCCGTTCAGAATAAAGAATTAAAACACCAAACTATGGGCTATTCTACATGTAACCCAAGATCAACGTTCCCAGAATCAAACATTTCCATGAGTTCTTTGCTTTACCTCCAATGCAGAAGTGGGGAGTCAGCTACCTGTGCAGCACCTCTGCCCCCTCAGAGGCCATTCCATGGGTCTACATACTGGAATAGGGGGCAGCAACTAGATAGACCAAGATAGACTACGGCCTTGGACAATTTTGTCCTTCCTCATCCTCACAGAGATTCCCAGGAAGAAATAATATAGCCTAGGGCCTATATTATCTTTTCCATTGAGAGTCTCTCTTTTCTCTTGCTCATACAGACACACTAAGGTGCAAGACAGATAAGGCCAGAGGGAATCCCTAATAATGAGGCTGTACTGGAGCTGTGCTGCTAAGGAGCTGAGGGGTTGTTAGCCACCAAGGATCAGAACTGGCATGGAAGCACATGGTCTCCATTTGAATGCCCCTGGCCCCCCTTAGAGTATCCAGATTTGGAGACCCCAGGACTTATTCCATGGAGACAATTCCACAGAACAATTAGTTCAGAACTCTGGAATGGGGATCCCCAGCCACCCCTCCTGCAGGTATTACCATGAGAAGGGACAATCTGAGTCATAATAACTAGCAATTTCTGCCCATCTTCTGAGTTACAGACCCTGTGTTGTCATGTGACTGGTGAACTTCAACTGCTTTGACTCAGGTGTAAGAGAAGACATACTTAATTTGGAACCTGTAATCCAAAAGAACCCATGACTGACAAACTCTTCAAAGCAGACTGTGTGCGGTAAATTACCATCCCTTTCAAAGCAGTGCATGGGAAGTGTACAGTTCTATAGAGAAATAGATCTTTGTTTCCCTGTCCTCATTAAAGACACTATGAAAGAAAGACATACCAGCAAAACAAAAGTCAAGTACCACCTGAGCAAAGTGATTTTCAAATGATTTAAACTTTAAAGTGATTGAATAGTTTTTTTCTCCTAGACAAAAAGGTGCCCATTGTAAAAGGCAGATTTCACAATCACTCACTAAGTTGAATCTTAAATATTTGCCAGGAAATACTTACCATGAAGATAATGCCAACAAAATTGGTAAAATATGCTGGAAAACGATCTTTCCATGTCAGTTTCTCTTTATCAGTCTAAAATATGAAAAAAAACCAACACCCTGTAATTTAATACAGTATCTAAAAAGATCCCTTCTATTTGTTCTTGTAACAAAAACACCAAGGCACAGGAAAACAGTCAAACACGCAACCAGTTAGAAGGTGGAAGGATACAGTGTTTAAAGATACAATTTTATACAGGTAAACGTCTTACAGCTTCAATTTGGTGCTAAGTCCTGCATTGTATAAATGAGTCTGAACAGCTTTTTTGAGAAACACACTTAAGTAAACTATTACACTGTGAAATTAGATTTCTCCTAGTGTAAAATATTTCATTTTCCTTTCCCAGAAAAGATTTAAACTTTTTTTGTTAGAATATGATTTCAATAAAGCACCATTAGGACTGTCCCTGCAAGCCTTACTCACATGAGGAATACTTAATCCTATAGGTTGTCCCATTGCAATATAGATTGCTCACATGGGGGAGGCTGTTCAGGATTGGGCCCTTAGTGCAATGTTGCCAGGGTTGATTTTGCTTTGCTATGGATCTAACCCTGTGAACACCTGAATATGAGTAACTTTTACACACATGAATAAAATTGATGCCAGTGCGACTACTCATGAGTTAAGTTACTCACATGCAAAATCTCTGCAGGATCACACTTACTATATTTGATCACTCTATTAATTTTGATCACACAATCTATCTGGGAATGACAGTCTCATTTAGAAAGTCATCTCTGATCTGATTTCATTTGTAAAGTTTGCAGAATGAGAGTGATTTCTTAAAGGCAGAAAGAAAATGTCAAAGGAAAGTAACATTAAAGAAGATGACACTACATTGTACTGAACAACAATATCTCATTCAAAGTTACATGCATGTTGTCTGATAGAACAGCAGGCAACTCTGTCAAACATGTGGCACATGCTTCATTACAAAAATGCAACATCCATTCAATATGGTAACCCAAAGATTAGCCATGCAGTGCCATCCCCACTACACGTAAACACAGTGTCTATCTGGGTGCTGAAGAGAGGAGAAAATAACAACTGAACGTGAATATTAAACAAAGGTTCAACAACCAAAGGTTGTTGAGAAAAACAATCAATTTGTGTCTTCCATAATTACTCATAGTTTGAGTTTCTCCATAAATTTGAATGAAATGTACCAATTTCACCCCAGCCATGACTGTCTTAACTCTCTGTCTCCATTTGTTTCCTGTCTCTTCTGGCAAATGTCGACGCTTCTGATGGCAATCAAAGGAAACAAAAAAGGACCATGCGATACAACGTTACAAAGCATTGACTAACAATGCCAAATTAATCCACACACTCTGCTGAGTAAGTACACAGTGCAATTTAGCAACAAGTACTCCATTAGTTTCCTCAATGCTTTGGGTTCCAGCTTCAGGTTTATTTAAAAAACAAAAACAAAAAACCAACAACCCACAATCTGGAAGAAATCCCACTTTTAACGGTGACCTGCAAAGAATTTACAAAATATTAGGCTCATGCCCTTTTCTTCTTCTTCATGATGTATAAGAAAGCCTGAAAGGCTTCTCTTCTGAAAGTTTTCATTCATTTTGAGGTTTGGTCTGAGAAACATCAGGAATTTCAGGTCTGTTTTTTCATGGTTTGACTGACTTCCAAGAGGTCTCAGAAGGGATGTTTATTGTGAGCTTTAATACACTGGCACTTTAGGCTGAAATTTACAGGAGTGAGACATGTATTTCTAAAGTATTAAAAAAAAAAAGTAGAAAGCCCTCCACTTTTGCTGGGGAAATAAAAATAATTTATTTAGATCTTCTTTTTTCATCAAAAAAATTTTTTTTTTTTTTTTTTTTTTAAAGTAATGCTGCATGTAAGGTATTCCACACCAAAATTAAAACCTTTTAATATTAAAGAGGTTAAGCGTGAACATTTTCTGTAACAGTCTAACTAAAATGTATCAGAACCAGCTGATGCCATTGTTTAAGAACGGCCAAACTATACATAAATGTAAGCATGTAAGAAAACAAAACAGACAAATTTAAAATAATTCCAGTCCAGTCTATTTAAGGTGTCCATCACTAAGTAACCTAATTGTCATATGGTAACTGGCTATACTAATAGCTTGCATTTACATAATACCTTCTATCTTGAAGGATCCCAATGTGTCTTACAATCCAAACGTCTGCTATGCTGTACAAGCAACTCACAGGTATCACTTCATGCACCACTGAAATGCAGCCACCTCTGGGGTGACACGTAGCAACTGTTTAACCACAACACAGCAAAAGAAGTTGGGACCAGAAGTGAAAGATACCTTACACAGCTGAGATGGCAAGAGGATTATATTTAGAAATGCGGAAGGTTATTGCCCAACCTGGAATTCAGCCAGGAAATTGGGGTTAGTATTATTATTATTAATTATTTTAGTAACCATTTTATTTTATTAAATGCCATAGGATTTTTAAAAGCCACAAACATCAAGACCTAAGTGCAGAAAGCCAGATTCCAATCCAGTGGCTGAACATGTGTCTTTTAGAGGCATTTTTAAATTTGTGAACAGTCCATTCCAATGGATACATACGCCACAAAGAAGGAGAAAGCAAATCTTAATTTCCCAATGGAAAAGTAGGGAGGAAAATCCATCAGAGATGCTTACTGAGTTTTCCTCTTCCAGATACCTCTCCTGTGGGAAAATCTGCAGTAGGATATGAATCAGCATTCTGTTTTTGCTCAGTTCTTATTCAGCCAGACTTTGATTGGAATAAATAAAGGACCTCAAGGTTTGGCCCAAATGATTAGCATGTTGTTATGATGATGGATGCTAGGAAGGCATGAGAATCTCTCCTGAGAAGTTCTAGTTACTTATAATACTGCAAGATACAGTTTACTGTTCAGTTACAGATTTCTCAAACTTTATCCATAGCCTAATAAGAATTCAAATGATAGTTGAAGAATTCTATTAAAATACATCTTATACCCAAACACTGAAGTCATTTCTATATTTGTACAAGCTTTATATATATATATGAAATGTATGTGCCACTGTAAATGCAATTAATTGTTAAAAGAAATGTTTGGAAGCTTACACATGAAATACAACAGTGTCTTTATGTTTATTTTTGTTTCCAAAATCTTGGTCAAGTCATCTGTAAATGGATTTATTCACCAAAGAAGTTTACGTGGTTAAATAAATAAATATTTTTAGCATACCTTTTTATGTATGTATTCTTTCCTCAGTGATTTTTCTAATACTTTAGCTTCATATTCTGCTCTGGGATGAGCCTGTGAAAGAAGTCACATTTAATAGTAAAGAAATTATATCTATTTCCTAGTTCATCTATATATGAACAAATGATAAGTCCAGTTCCTACTAATTTCTCGTTTCTCATACTGAATTCTAATTTACTATACAGATCACTAATGTAAAGTTGATAGCATGTTGTAGCTAAAATCTTTGAAGTACTATATCATTCTAAATTCTATTCCATGTTTAGGAAACAGAAAAAAGCTCTACAGAATATATCAAGTGTAACCCTGTGCAGATCAAGCTTGGGTCATTGTGATTTACAGCGCAGCTTGCAGAGACTACAGATCACAACATGTGATGTTCCATCTTGATATGAGACATTGCCATTTGGATCAAGATGAAACATTGCATTCTACAACCTATAATCTCTATGAACCATGCTTCATGAAGGGTAGCTGTTATCTGCTATAATTTAGGTAAAATATGTGCAGCTCTTGGGGTACTGGCAAGTTGCCAATGAGGCCTTCAGGTGGGCCAAGTTTGGATACCAAATGTATTCATACCTACGGCAACATCCCTAGAAAGGTACATCTCTGCAATGCAACAGACACTGCATATTAGACTAGCCACATACAATGAAAAAGAGGAGATGTAGGAAAATAACCTGAAATAGAAGGAACAAGACAGCTGAAGGATTCCAAAAGTACCCACAAGAATGCACTGGATGGAAAAATAGAATGGAAATGGAAAAAAAAAAAAAAAAAAATCCAAACCTTGACTGCCTCCTTCAGGAAACCAGAAAAGAAAGAAAAAAACAAAACACAAAAAACAAACAAAAAAGATGATTACTGAACTGTTGCAAATTGCACTGAATTTTTTTTTTTAATCACATGGAACAACATGATAGATAGAGTGCATTGATAGACACAACCAGGAAAACTCAGTCTGCTCTTGTTTTCATATTGAAGATATACTAACATTACTGCATGAAAGAGTTTACTGAATAAATGTACCCAACAGAAGATTAAATATTTTAGTATTTTAGGATGCCATCTGAGATCCTGATTCAGCAAGCATTTAAGCATCTGCTTAAGTCCCATTGAAGTCAATGGAAAGTTAGGAGCGTAAATGTGCTGCTAAACAAGGGGCTGTATTAGCTAGCGGAGACCATATTAAGTGAAGAGTAAAATATACTTTATTAACAGCTGCGGTCTCTGGTCAGACATTGTTTTTACTGCAGAGAACTCTGAACACACTCACGAAGGGGATAGCTGTTCGAAAGATACAGTTAATCCTTTCCATTTTCATGTATGCTAACAATTAAAGATACCAAAAATAAAAGGACAGTCGTCTTACGATAGCTAGAAAAAAAAAACCTCCTCATGTTGTCATCCAATAAAATAGCAGGCCCCAATCCTGCAGTGTGCTCTGGCTCAGGATATGCCTGAATGGAGCACTTACCAGGACTGGGGCCCTAGAAACCAAACTTTCTTCTGAGAAGTCAATTAAAAATAAAAAAGCTTTTGTAGAATTACAATATCAGGCCCATCAGGTAGCATGACACATTGTTTAATAAAAGGTCTCCTAAAATACATTCCCATAATTGAATAGTATTTATTGTGAATATAATCACTGTCTAGATTGCACAGGCAGCCATATTTCTAATAAAGAACTACAGGCATAACTCCCAAGAAATTAACTTTACAAAGATATAGGGCCCAGTCCAACTCTCATGGAAGTTTGCGGAACAGCTGCAGCTGAGTGATGTCTTTGAATGGTTTTTTGGGCTGAATAAAGCCCAAAATATTTATCACTCAGAACTCCCATTGCCTTCAATTCCAATTTGCAATCCAAATATTGTTGCTAAAAAAACCAAAACACCTGAGATGGAATAAATCTAAACTTTCCTCCTTATCTTCTATGGGTATGCCAAAGATGCTCAAATGTATTGTGAAGCTAGGGTCTCATCCAAAATATATTGAAGTCACTGATAAACTACAACTGCCTTCAATGGACTTTGGATCAAGGGCTTTGAAATGCAGATCCTCAAAATGACTCTTTTCCTTTTATTCCATAAACATTTTAATATTTAGCTCTCTTTTGCATATATATATATATAAAAACTCTTTTGCTTGGATCTTCCTACCTTTAACCACTCCCAAATGTGTCTTTTGGTACACACAGCAAAGACAACCTCCAAATTTGTGTCCTAGTGTTTTTATACAATGCTCCATACCAATGTACCTGCAGTATTTTCCACAAAATTTGCCTAATTAAAACGTGATCCTGCACCATTAAAGTTTATGGGAGCTTTTCCCATTGACTTGAATGGAGCAACTATGCCATTTTCAGAACCTGATTCTTCATGCTGGTTTTACAATGGTGTAAACATTATCAACTTTGACAGACCCATTCCTGACTTATAGCAGAGTAGCTAAGAGGAAAGTAAGTCTCTCTGCTTTTAATATCCTTTCTTGAGTCAGGGAATTATGTATGAGCTATATATTCCGGGCCTGCATTACTAGGTATGACCTAACATCATTTAAAAAAAAAAAAGGGGGGGGGGGGGGGGGGGGGGGGCAGGGAGAGTGTTGTAGATATACAATTATGCTTCCATGGTAACAAGATGTGCTAGCAATACACCCACAATAAAAAAAACCTCAGAAATCGTTCACATACAGGATTTTCCTTTGCACCAGGAATTACTGCAAAAATCTTGCAGTATTCCATGAAGCAAAGTCTTAACAGTTTAGAGTACGGCACCATTTACAGTGTAATTATTGAAGTTAAAATGTAACAAAACCAAACTATGAAATGGAGTCAAACCAAACCAACTTAAAAACTAACCTCCTCTTCTTCAAACCCAGTCAAATCCCATCTATAGTTGAGACGCATCTGTTTTCTCTTCCAGTGTTCCATAAAAGTGGCAGCTGGGAATTAAAAATAGTTTGTTAGAGCATAGTTGTTTGGATCATATTTAAGGTCTTTAAAATCAAACTGGCCTGGGTTAGAATTTGTCTAAAGTATCTGCTTAGGTGTGTTGGGTCAAATTTAGTCTCAGTTACCCTGGTGTAAATCCAGAGGATCTCCACTGAGAACAGCTGAGAGCAGAATTGGCCTGATAGCTGCAAGATGTTAATAAGTAAAACTATTATGCATAAGGGCCTGATTTTGCATATCTGGTACATTCAAAACTTCCATTAGGTTTGAACAGAAGGTGGCTAGTTATCAGGGCAGTTTAATTTCAGGAGCTGTTTTTTAAAATAATTTATAATTAAATTGTAAATGGAAATTTATCTTAGTGAGAATTCTGAATTCTCCAGTAGGAGTACTTGGTAAATACTAAGGGCCAAACTCTGGGAGCCAACTTTTAACTATGGGAGCCAAAGGAAATGCTCTCTCACATACCCACAAAACCTTTGTTTGTTCCTGGTAGTGGATAGTTAAGTGCACAATTAAGGCTGGGATTTTCAAAGGTACCTCAGGGAGTTAGGTGCCCAAATCAAAATTAACTAATATTTTGTGTCTCTGTAATGATATTACAGGCATCATTTGTATATGGCTGCCTATCAATCTGAACAGTATTAGCTTTATCCATAAACAACAGTTGCAGATCTCTAACTATACTGGTATAGTTAAAGTGGTACAACACCCCTCTTCCCCATCCCCAAGTGTGGACACAGTTATATTGGTATAAAGGTACTTATAGGTTATTTCCATTAGGGAAGGAGAATAAAGGAAAATAAGCTATACTGGTATAAGGCACCTTTATACAGATGTAAATATGTCCACACTAGAGGTTGTACTAGTATAACTGTTTCAATAAATAATCACAGCCCTATCCAAAATAGTTATACAAAAACTGCATATAAATCAAACCTTATAAGTGTTGGAAATAGGGAGCTTTTTAATGGCCATTGTAAGGGGATTCACAGTGTAGCAGTCATTTTGTTTTTAACAGGGTAGACCCAGGAAAAAGGAGCAATGTGAAAACAACTCTTGAGTTGCAGCAAATTTCCGCTCTTTATCAGTGTATGTGCCTTTGAGGTGGAGGAAGTTCTCAGAGGACATACATTTTAATGCTGGGAACAAACCAGCACAGTTCAGTAAATAAGTAATTATGAAAGCAAGTCCATTGAGAAAGGCTAACCCCCTGAGAATTCTTCTGCAGTGAATACTAACAGATGTGCTCAACAAGATGTACCATGATATTCAGTAAAACCTTGGAGGCAGAGAGGGGGAGAGAGAGACTAATATAGATAAAAGGGTGACTGGAATCAGGCTGTGCTTTTAGCGTTCATCAGTCCTCCAAGTGAAATTCTCACGTACAAAGCCTACAACTGAACCCCTTTATAACTCTTGTGCTTCCTGTAAATTGGTAACATCATAATTATATCTTAAAACAGTCTATGATATAACTCTTGAATCCCTGCCCCTTCTCTGTGCCCCTGGGAGTTCTTACACTGTGGTCTGTAGTTTCCACGTACAGTGAGAAAATGAAAGACACATTGTTTCATGCTGCTACCAGAAATCATTTTACAGCATCAACTTAGAAAAATGTAAAATGAAAATATTACATCTGCAACATAGCCATCTGTTAGCTCACTTGAGAAGCACCAACCGATTGTGGCAGGTTCAAAGAAGTAGCAAAGAAAGAATGACTTTCTGCCAAACACACATGCATTTTCATATTTCATCTGTGCCCATAAACACAAACTGAGCTCAAAGGTTCTGGTAGATTGCTTTCTAGATCATTATTTGAGCTGGATTTTGAGGGATTCTGGATGAGGTTTCACACCACACAAATTCAGGCCTTATTTTTAGGGGACAGAAAATCAATGTCAGACTGCTAATTTAAGAGATGGGGGACCCGCAGCTCCCAGGTGCTGTGGGTGGCAGGGGGTCTCTGCCGCTCCGAGCTCTGAGCCACAGCAGAGGGGATCTCAGCAGCCGCAGGTGGGGAGGGGACCCAGAGCTCTCAGCTGCTGGCCCCAGAGCTCTGAGCTGCTATGGGCAGCGGGGACCCCCGCAGCTCCTAGCTGTTGTGGGCAGCAGGGGAACCCCGGATTTCTGAGTCGCTGCAGGCGATGGAGGGCCCCTTACAACTCTCAACAGCCATAGGTGGTGGGGGGCCACCTGGAGCTCGAGCCACTGCAGGTGCCCATGCAGCTCTCAGCTGCTGCAGGTGGTGGGGAAATCTGGAGCTGTCAGCTGCCCTGGGCAGCGGGGGGACCCTCCTGCTCTCCTCCCACAGTAGGGCTTGTGCTCAGCCCCATTTTGTCACAGTTATTTTTAGTAAAAGTCAGGGACAGGTCAC